GCGCACAACGGGGACCCTCAGAGTACCTCCTGGGATTTCAGCAGACAGGCAGTGAGGACAGAACAGGAACGTGGATGCAGCCTGTCATCTTACTACCATGGTTTAACTTAAAGGGTGTCAGTGCACATCGCCCATCACTCAGTCCTTCTTCATTTATTCTTCTGAGATGTCAGAACCCATAGAGAATGTCGCCCAAAATCTGCATGGATGGGAGCAGGCTTTGTGCCCAGGCAGAGTGCTGTATGCCATTTGATATTGCACTTCCAGAGGAATAAATGACAACATCCGACTGATTCTGATGCCTGACTTTTAGGGAAAATATTCAGGCACATTCTACTTGCAATCTAAAAAACATTTCCTCCATGCTGTGAGATTATCTAAATAAGCCACATTAACCCTTCCTAATCAGAGTGATGTGGTGTTATTTTTAAACCTGCCAAAATTTTTTAAGCCAAATGGTGTGGGATATTACGGTTACAGGACCTCAAAAGAGTTATTTGTCTCTGTTTATTTTATTAAATATTCCTAGACATACCCTTAGGATGACAGATCAATAAGTGCCTTTGCGGTTTCCTGATAGAAAGCAGCAATTATTTTCTTCCATTACAATATGAGCATAACGCAATTTTACTCATCTATCATGTGTGTAACAGTAATAAAGAAGCATCACCATGTGTTTATTTTACTGTCACTTTTTCTTTTGTTTTGGTGATCTTCTGTTTCCATTTCATGTTATCCCAACTGTTTTGTGCCTTTCATTTGACAGGAGTGGCAACCAGTTTGTCTTGCTTTAGGACACTTGTTGGGAACACAGTGGCAAAAGCCTGCCTGTGGTTTCTCTTTTCCTGTAAAGTCAATGGAGTACTTTAGGCTGTCACCTGAACTTCCGTGTAGAAGAAACAAAGCCACAGTATCTTTACTGGGATAAATCTGGATTTCATTTTCAGAGGTGCTTTTCCATGGAAGTCAAAAGTGATTGAAGCTGAGTATCAGAGGAGAACTGGGCTCACAATTTTTTAGCACATAAGAGATGCAGAAAGGCTAAACAAAGCCTATAAGATCACGGTCTAACTAATGACAACTGAAATGTATAGTTGAGATTGTCAAGGCTAAACTCAACCCATCTTCCTCACTTGGAGAATTACATTTAATCCATGATAGAGGTGCATACTACCGGATCATGTCTGCAAAAAACCAGCAGCATTTGTCTCCTCATCCAAGTATTCCTCTGCTTTGAGGAGGACTACACCAGGGCTAATAGTGATTAACTGTGATAAAATAAACTCTGCCAAAAGCCTACATCCAGTTTTCTTTTCATTGTGGGTGAGGAGATTCCTGAACAGCGATTCAAAACTCTCCACAGCAGCTACCTTTCAGATATCCTTGTCCTGACTTGGGCAATAAAACCCCTTTACTATGACTCCAATTTTTTCTTTTAATTCAAAGCCAGTTCTGTTTCCTCCCTGCTGTCATTCAAGCGACAGCCAGCTCTTCACTGAAGGAAATTATTAGGAAGAGCTAACTGGTCACAGCTCTACTGAGGTACATCTGATATCAATCAGATGCGCCATTGGATTAACTTTTCCTAACTCTGACTTCAGTGAGTCCAGGCTTTGGCTTATTATGTATTTCACTTAAACACAACTGGAAATATTTTATTTTGTTTTTATAAACTTTTCTGTGAGCACTGGAATAAAGTGAAGCACAGATGTATCTGGATTTATATCGTGTGGTTGGTTGACTTTGCCATCCAATTAAGCTCTGACAGAGACTTCTTCCATGGGTGGGCAACACCTGCTTTGGTCCCTATGAGTCCTTCTCATGTTTATAAAGGGTCTCTTTACACTTCATCGATTTCCACAGCCTGAGCATATATTGGATCTGTCTCTGGATTCACATCTTTAAGATTTCTTATTGTTGAGGTTGTCAGGACAACTAACAGAAAGGTAGGCATACAATAGCATGGCCACATAAACTTAATTCCTTTAGGAAACAAAGCTAAAAACTAACAAATTTTGTCAACCACATCAAGATGAGTTGAAGCATTTTTATTTAAATGCTTAAACATTGAGAAGAATGGGTTGAGGAAGTGTTTTGAATGTTTTATTCTGGTTTATTTTGGTCTAATTCTACCTTTAGCAGCCTCAAAGTGAACAGTCCTGAGGGACAGCCACTTAAAAAGATGGACTACCCAAAGTCCAACAAAATTACATACAATTGTCTTGTGGGACTTTTTTTGATAGCATGAAATGGCCTTCATCAATCAGACTCTAACTGTAAATTATCAGATAGCACTCCCTTGCAAACATTGCTAAAGGGTCATTTTTCTTTTTAATGTTGAAGTTAGTGGTATACCATATTCACTGCTGTACTGTTTTCACTGTCCTATGACTTAATCTCACAGTGGTCAGTGCCTTTCACTTGCATCAGTGGTCTGTGGTTTCATTCTTTCAACATCAAAGAGAAAGATCATCCTGGCTACATTACAAAAAGCAAGTTTTGAATTTTGCCAAAATAAACTGTGACAAACCCTCACAGTTTATAAAAGCTTTCTTTTAAGCTGAAGGTGACTTAGAAAGGGGAAAAAATGGGTTATGCCCACATGTGTGTTTTTATAATGTACAAAAAAGGGCTTAAGAAGAGTTGGGGAGTCTGGGGGTTTTTTATTATTATTAATCTCCAGCAAAATCAAGGAAGACCAGAGTTGACATTCCTTACACAAGCATAAGCATAAGATATAATGGGCTTTCCTTCTTCTGCCTGCTCCTTCCCTTCCTTCACCTTCCAACCTTGCAGGTCTATTTTACACTCCTGAGAAAAACAAGTGTATAAAGGATGCCTGGAAAATTCTTGCCAGTCTTTTTGACCAACTGAGACCTGAAAAAAATCAAGGGACACTTTTCATTGGAGCCTTAATGAGTCCTCTGGAATAAAGGAAACAAAATGGAATGGCAAAGCTTGACAGTCTTGATATTTCAGTGCTAAGCGAACAATCAGGACAGGAATTTCTGACTGCCTGTATGCCATTTAAAGGAACCACAAGAAATCACAGGAACATTTTTCCCTTTATCAATTTAATGTAACAGAAATAAGAGTTTGATGACATTTATTGAAAATGGGCAACTATAATAAACCGTCTGCAGTATAAGACATTCAGTTCTGATATGCAAAGCAGCAGCAGACTTTGGAAAAGCCTTTGAAACAGGAAAGAACTTCCCAGCATGTGAAAAGTGGCAAATTATTCTGTCAATATTTTAATAGTATACTTTGCTATGAAAAGATTACCTTATGAAACAGATGTATAGGCAAGAACAGAATGAGATAAGTTAAAGGCCATGAGCTTTAAAGACAGTCACTCACAAATAAAATGCCCCAGGAATAAGGAAAAAAAGTATTTTCAGAGAACAATGTTCATTGTTAAAAATTAACTGAAAAATTGAAAAAAAAAAAAAAAGGATATTAAGACCTGAAATTAAAAATTAGGACAACAGTAATACAGTGAAGAAAGATAAGATGTTACTGTGATGAATGTTTGCTAACTTCCTTTTAGTTCCTGAAGATTACCTTTCCCACAAAAAAGGGAATAAAATGCTACGTCTGCTGTGGCTGCTGTGTCAGCATCTGCTGGCAATACCTACATCTGTGTCGAACACCAGGAGCCTGCCATAAGCAGGTGTCCCCCGAACGCCAAGGCTGTTGTGATGATGCTCAGACTGGGTCGGACCCCACCTCTGAGCACATTCCCGCTCCTGGGGAGAGGCCACAGCAGCTCTGTAATGGATGCTTCTCCCCAGGCCCCCCATCTCACCCCTGTCAGTGAGGAGCAGCCCTTCTCTTTCATGCAAGAGGCTCCCACCTCCAACCAGAGCATGTGCCGCTGTCCCATCCTGATGCCCTGTGCTTGCAGCTGGGCTGAGGAGGACTCTGCTGGTATCGGGGTGATGAAGGCCTGTGGTTCCCACTCTTACCAGGAGCCATCCCAACAGTGCGGCATGATGGATCCCGTCCAGCCCCAAATGCAGGTGGAGCTGTTGCTCTGTCCTGACCCCAGCCTTACGCTGGCTCGCGAGGCTGAGCAGAGCCCCAACGCAACAGCTCTGTCCTGCCCTCTGGTAGAGGACAGCGTGACACCTCTGAGATCCATTTTTCTTGTATTCGAGAAAAAAAAGCTTCCCAGAGAGGACATTCAAGGCTCTGCTGCGTAAGCAGGTACAATTCAAACCTGCAACTTTTTATGTTTCAAAATAAATGTCAGAAGTGCCCAATTCCCAGATTCTGTATTTCCTTTACAAGAGCTGACACTGGCACAGGCGGAGACCAGAAGGGAAGAAATAACCTGTGTGCTTTTTATGGTTGGAGAGCAGCAACCATCTGAACACGTGGTGTACAGAGAGGCCAGCCTCCCACCCGAGACTACCAGCATCCTCATTCAGATACACTTCATAGACACTTCTTTCATTACGAAAGCTAATTTCAGTGGGACCGTTGATGTACCGAGCATGAGTAATTGTATTACAATCTGGCTCTTCATGGCATGTTCCAAACCAGCTCTTACATTTTTTTCTGAAGAGGGCAGTGATTCAGCATTAACACAGTTTAAAATATGAGTGATATTTTCAGGGAGTCCTCAGTGCACATGGATACAAATGTTAATGAATACTTTTTTGAGATATCAAAAGAAATAACTGCCTAAATGTTCCATTTATCTGCATCACAGTCTCTCAAGAACACAGAAAAACAATTACCTACAAATAAAAAAGAAAAGGATTTTTTCCCCAGTTCCACTAATACTTTCTTAGCACCATAAGGACCTCAGTGATTTTCATAGTCAATTTACAGGAACTAATCCTTATCAAGATGAATCATCAGCAATGATAAATAATCTGAATTGGTCAGGGACTTACATTTTGTAAGTGAAACTGAGGGGACAGCTACCTGGCAATGGAGTAGGTAAAGAGAGTACGAGAGTCTCAAAACGTAACAAATTAATTATCACTTACTGTGTTCAAGCAGTATTTGCTCTCTTTCCCATAAAAGTGCTGGAGACATTTCATGTTCTGCTTGTCAACAATCTTGTTGAAGAACTCATTGATGGTTCGCACAGAGACGGCACAGACAGCAGATCTGTTGGTTGGTTCGGAAGAGTCTGGTTTGCTTTGTGCAAAAATGCCGTAGAGAATATCGTCGTTCAAACCAACACCCATTTCATGGGCTAGAGTTGCACCTGGCTTGCTTACACAGGCAGCTTGCAAAATGTTGAATACCTCCTTTCGGATGGATCTCTTCCTGCGCTTTTCAGTAAAAATACACTCAAGAGGCATTTCCATGTAAGAACGCATCTCTGAGTCTAAAGTGCAGAAGCGGATAATTCTAGTGTGAAAAGCCTGGGAGTCAAGAGATTCTCTCTGGACAGTCAGAAAATAGACAAAGTGATCATTTTCAAAGGCATGGACATACCTAATGGGATACGAGTCACGGAACTGAGGGAGGACATCTATATAAGACTGATCTGTGAGAAATTCAAAACCATCCTGTGTTTCTTTTAACCTCCTAACTGATATTGAATGCAGCACATGTGGAGGCTGAAATGTAGATGTCACAGTGTTTCCAACAAAGAAGTTGACAAACCTGTCCTTTTCAGTCACCAAAACTTTGGTTCCTAAGGTGCTTACAACACAGTCAGGACAATTATCTGCTTCTCCGTCCAGCCGGGGTGAATACATGCAGTGCACCTCGCTTTCAATGTCAGCAGGGTTGTCAGGGTGAATGATGTGACGGTGGCAGATGCCTCCGGACACGCTACCACAGCTGATGAGCTGATCATCATAATAAGTTTCTAAGAGCAGTGCCATGTTGACATTATCCTTCCATACACTGTTAGATAAATTGGCTTTATCTTTGCAGTCTTGGCATGGCGCGCAGTCAGGGTTCTCCAAAATGGGCCCAGTCTTGTACACAGAAATGTTCTGGAGAGTTTCATTTAGTACATAAATCTTGTTGACTGCTCCAATATAAACATGATGCTTGTATAAAACTACATTCTGAATTGGTGTTTCTGCAATGAAGTTAGGAAGATCATATTTTACACTCAAATTCATCTCAGATTTTTTAGCTGCTTCTTTGCATTGTCCATGGCTCCTCTGCAGCAAGGCAAACAGGAATACAATAAACCCAGAAGGATATGCAGTAAAAGGCTTCATTGTCAGAGATTTAATCTGTCAAAATATATTTAAAGGAAAGAGAGGTTATATTTCATAAACATCAGTTTATCAGTCAACAGAAAACTTTCTACGCTGCATGTATTAGATGAACTATTTCAGTTTAAGATGTGTCATAGTCTTTCTTAGTGTCATGAATAGTCTTGTGCTGGAAACTGCTACGATTACCGTTCTTTGTGGGTACCCATATCACTGCTTTCAGAACAATTCACAGAAGGATTTTCTCATGATGAATTTTGCAAGACCCCTCGGTGTGTTGTACAGCAGCAGAAGGGAGATGACTCCTTCCACATTGGCATTAAACCAGCTGACTGATACAGTTTAGAATAGGATGGTGCCTAGGTACCTGAACGCAAATCTGCTCAGCACACTCAGGACACAACTGCACACAAAGCAGTTGTAGCACTTCAGTGTGTGGATAGAAGATATTTGGCAAGTTCCTCAAGGGGCTGAGCTGGTTCTTCGCACAGCTGCTCAAAAATGAGAAATAGGAAAGACATCAAATAATGTGAAGATCTGAGTTGGAAGTGGGCTTCTCTTTTACTCCATTGACATTTTTCATTAACCAAGGAAGAGACTTTTCTCCACCAGACCAAAGGAAGAAACCCCTCTCTCTCCCTCCCCTCCAGCTCCCCAAATCATAAGGGCTCCTTTTGGAAAAAGAATGGGTTTTTTCAGCCAGCTGTACTTCTTGGAATAGTCATTTTCCCAAGTGCTGACAAGCTTTTATAATATATTGTTAGAATCTTTTATGCATCATGTGGTGCCTGGCACGTGCAAGTTTTATTTTAGGCCCTGTACCACAGCAGTAAGTCACTCTGGTGAACCTTTACAAGATACAGGCGTATCACTGCACTGTAAACAAAGGGGTATCAAGTGACCTACAGCCATTAACTGATGAAATCAAAAAACCTAGCACTTTTCTTTTTTTTACTTCTCCACACAATTGTTTGATGTGGCTTGAAAAACTAGAGGCAGATGACTAGTGTGATATTTCACCCCCTCAGAAGATCAATTAAATGAACTGTGGTTATGAGCGTTTCAGTGCAGTGTCCACGCTATGCCCTGTCACACCAGACATTTTCTGTTAATGCCATGACAGTTGTTAAGCCAAATTTAGCTTTTTCATGGAGAAAACAATTATGCATTCTAACAGAAATATGATCACATACTTTGGGAAAACACTTATAGTTTGGCTATAGTTAAGCAATTGTTGCTAATAGAGACATGCTTATGACCACTGAAAGGGTTTTAAATTGACAACCTTGAAAATTGCCAACTAATAATAGGAACCAAGAACTCTGTATTGACTTTGTATTTCATTAAGACTTTAAGCAAAGTGGAAAGATTACTATAGACCAGAACTGTTTCAGCTGCGTATAAATTCAGTGTTTTCACTAGACTGGTTAAAGCAATCCATCAATAATTCTCCTGCATGCCTTGTGACACTTTACTTCAGCATCCACTGAACTCTTCCTGTGGCTTACCTCATTAATTACTCAAAATAATAGGTTTTGGAAACAAAGAATTATTCTTCCTCCCTGTTATCTGATAAGAATCATGATGGAGAGCTGGGGATAAAAATCAGAAACACAGGTTATTTGCAAGTATTAGCTGGTAAGAACAAGTCACACTTCTGGCATTGAGAAATTAAGATCTTCCTTCAAATCACCAGCATTTTCTGATATTAATTAGTGATAACAGACTCCTGGAAAAAAATCAAACATGGTTTTAAGCTTAAAAGAAAAAGAAAGTAAAAAAGAACAGGAATGTTGCTATAATTAAAAAATAGCCCCAGTACATAGAGGGATGACTTCTATATTGTACAGGGCAGGAAACTCTTTTCTCATCCTCTGAAACTTCTTGCTGTTACAGGATTTTTCCTGCTGTGTGCTGGGATAAAACCAAGAGCTTTCAAAGTTTGTGTGAAACACCCATAAGTCACACCCGATCCAAGAACAACCGTGTTCACGTCCCTGCCTCGCCAGTGCTGAGCAAAGGTCCCTGCAATGGGAGGAGTGGGAGCCTGGTCTGCCTGTCTGCCTCCTTTCAGCCAGCACTTCCACCCAAGAAACTGCTCAAACTGATACATTCCTGCAGATTGACTTCTGACGAGTCAACATGTTCTGACAAATAACTAGATTAGGCAGAAAATTCCAAAAGTGCTCTATTTCTGACACAACGCAGGGGCAGGTACATTGTTCACTGCAACCAGTTTGAATCACGTAACAGAGGTGGCAGTGCAGCGGGGAGAGAAAACAATAGGTGGGACAGTAGATAGGTGAGGATGAGGCTGATCGACCACCCATACAGGAAAAAAGATGCCAGCTTACTTGACAGGCACCTACTTTGTTGCAGTATATTCTGTGCTATGTTCTTGTTTTAATACATTCCCAAATAGCTTTCCCACCCAGTATGTCCCTCAGTCTTCACTCTACAATCCTTCTCGTTCTTCCAGTGCGTGAAAAAAGGGATCCCTAGCTTTTCAATAGTAAATACCAGTGTGCACTGCAGAGGGATTTAGAGCCATAAATACTGTCTGACTTATTCTTTCCCTCAAACCACATCTTGGGATACGAGGCCAGTGTCCTCAGATAGGCTACTTTGCCTACTCGCAGTTGGTAAAACAGCACTGGTTTGAATCGTGCTCTGGAGACAGAAAACTCCTCCTTAGACTCCTTTAGCAAATGGGATCTGAAGCAAAGAGCTTAACAGCAAGAGCAAGGGCGGGATTCAGTGTAATGCAAAGGATGCCAGGAATAATAGGTACTGTATTTCACTACTACAGGAAGGAAAATGTGAGTAATAAATGAAAACCAAGTCATCTTTGCTCTCATATCTGAGCTCCATCATTGTGCTTTCCGTTGTATGCTTTTTGAGGGTTTTCAAGCATCCTCCCAGACAGAAATCTGCTGATCCCCACCTACGGGAAGCTCAGGCTCAGATTTATGGGCAGGTCTAGGGGAGATGGTTCCCCACAATACATGTCTCCAGCACACTGTGTATCTTTCCTCAAGGTGCCTGAAATCAGAAGACACGTGCTCTACTGTGAGACATTTATAGCTTAGGGAGGGCACAGGAGTTATGGCAAGAGTACAGCATGCAACTCCTTTTTTTTCAGGCTCTTGTTTTTTCACAGTCCTCACATCATTTACACTCCACTGTTCCTCAGTGAGACTCCCCTAATGTTTGGTGCCTCTTTTTATCTATGTTTGACCCAGGGTCTTTCTCTATTCCTTTCTGCTATTCTGCAGCACAGAGTTGCTTTTCTGTAACCTCCAGACCTGGTCATTGCAAACACACTTCACTTGAATACATCCTGAAGAAGCAGGAAAACTCTGGTGAATTAGAATTTCAGTCCCCTCTCTCTTCAAACTCCAATAGTCCCAGTTCTCCCTAGCATATATTCAAGTGTAACTTCAGTTGAACTTAAGCACTTAGAGTTTTGCTGAATTAGAACCAAAATACTTGGGCTATAGATATACTTTCTGCATACAGGTCAAAGAACTAGTTGCTGCGTATCAGTTGCAAAAGGAAAACAAGTAATCCCTTTGTTTCTCTACTTGGTTTGACTGATGGATGCTGTTCATTCTTTACTGACCTTCCCGTGACTTGTGTGTCAGTGTGTCTTTCATGTGTCTACAGAAGACTTGTAAGCTTTGGCCTGTGATAACTATCAGCAAGCAATAGCTGTGGATGGATTATTTCTTTTGTAAGGGATATTTTCAAAGCCTGCGTCATGATGTGCTCATTTTTCCAAACCTCAGCAGACACCAGCTTGTATAACTGATGAGAAGATGGATTTTGGTCAACCGTTGCAAGTGGCTAGTAACGATGCGTCATACTAATGAGCCTGGCAACCTCAAGTGCTATGGCTGATGCTTTCCACCAGGGCTGGTCTCGAATGTTTGCGTACCATTAATGGCTTCCCAATGGCAATCTTTTTTCCTACAAGTTTCATTCTCCCTAATTATGGCCTGGATGATCATTTGTAAACATTGAACACCATGTCTCTTCTTCACACTGTTTGCCACCATTCTGACAAGTCAGGCCTGGCCTTATTGTGGAATAATGTTCAAGCTGTCACATGCAAGGTAGCCAGAAAACACAGTCATGCTTGTTTTCCTAGCCTTCATTTCAACAACTCGGGTCCTGTTTGACTCTGATCACAAAGTACTCCATGGATCTGCACAAGCTAAGACAATACGCTGACACAAAAGCAAGCGTTTTGTAGGTTGTTTGGTGCATCTCATTTTTCCTTACTTTATTACAGAAAAGGAAATGACAGGGTCCTGCATATCCCAAGTAGAACATGTTTATACAAGAGTAACTTAGTCCTCATATAGGTCATTTCAGGTTAGGTAACAGCAGAGCCATGTTAATTCACATTTCAAAAACTCTATTGTCAGCAAACGGTAGCCTTTCCCCCTCTTTAATGAAATATTTGATAATATAGTTTTATATTTTTTCTAGTGGAATAGTACATCTTGTTACTGTGGGCGCTGACGGACTTGTGGTGGCAAATTTATATAGGATAACCATAGTGATTGCTGCTTCTGAGAGTTCAGTTTGCTTTGCTATCCTGGACCGAAATCTGTGCCAGTTCAGGACCTGATTCCTTGTGGATCAGATGCCCTGCCATGGAGACAGCAGCATCATTTAACAGGACAGGGCAAATGAGAGGGGGAGATGATAACAGCCCCATCCATCCAACTTTAATCTGTTGTTGCAAATCTGTCACATCACTGGCATCAGTTTCAACAGACTAAGCCCACAGCAGACATGTCTTCATTGGACTTTTCAATTAACTGATTGCATCTGTAGACAAGATTGGTTATATGTAAAGCACTTATTGAGGTTAACCTATCTCCTGTGTCCACAGATTAAAAATGTTCTTAAGTCAGAACTGCTAAACTGATTTAGCTACCTTGAGGTAAAATAACAGAGAGAACAAGGAAATTTGAGAGAGTAAGTCAGCCACAAACATACA